CATCCCACCTCTCCATACCCCCCCCCCCCCCCCCCCGTTTTGCAATCATGTCGATAATGATTGACAATAGCGACCTCAAGGGCCAGGATCTTTCCTAGAGGTCTACAAGATCCTTCCCCTCCTCGCCAAACCAGGTGGTCCGGCCTTCCACGTGGTCGCCCCTTCTCTCCCCAACTTCGGCTTTAGCGAGGGACCCAAACAACGCGGATTCTCCATCGCCCAATACGCAGAAACCTGCCACAAACTCATGCTTGCACTCGGGTACAACGAGTATGTCACCCAAGGTGGTGATTGGGGCTTCACTATCACCCGCTCCATCGGCTTCCTCTACCCAGAGCACTGTAAAGCCTCGCACATCAACATAATCCTTGCGCATTGCCCTTCCTTCAGGAAGCACCCCCTACTTGCTCTCCAGCACTCCTTGACGTCCTACTCTCAGAAAGAGAAGGATGGATTAAAGCGTATGGAATTGTTCCAGCATGAGGGGAGGGGATACTACCTTACTCAGTCAACCAAACCTCAGACTCTCGCCTACGCGCTCAATGACAGTCCAGTAGCGCTCCTAGCGTGGATCTACGAGAAGCTGCACGACTGGACTGACGGCTACCCGTGGACGGTAAGAGGACATCTTCTTTCCATTCTCGTTTGATCCCGAGATGTTGTTGAGTCCATCCACCATGGCAAATACTGAGTTCCCCGTGATCCAGGAAGATGAGATCTTCACATGGATCAGCATCTATCAGTTCAGTCGTATGGGCCCAGGTGCCGCTCACCGCATCTACTACGAGTTCACACACACCAAGCCCGGACCGCGAAAGCCAACCATGGATGTCATCAGTGGCTACCTTCCTCACGTCAAACTGGGTCTAGGTTTGTCCTCTTCTCTCCTTCCCGCCACCAACTCACCAAAAGTGGTTCATGTCACACTGACCACAAGTAGCCTACAATCCAAAGGAACTCTCACTCTTGCCCAAGACGTGGTGCCGCACCCTTGGCCCCGTCGTATTCGAGTCCGACAACGAGAGCGGCGGCCACTTCTACGCTTCCGAGCGCCCGGAATGGCTAGCGAGGGATCTGCGGACGATGTTTGGGAAGAACGGGGGTGCATATGGGGTTGTGAAGGGGAGGACCGGGTTTGACGTGGAGAGGGCGAACCTTTGATTCCGTGGAAGATGGATGACAAGATGTTGCATTTGGCGAGACTGTGTACTCGCTTATTTATTGGACAACGTGTGAAGTTGTTATATAGTCTTAGATTATACACACATCGTAATAGCATGTCTAGTTACCGAGGCCTGATCCCAGCAAAACTGACCGATACGCAAGTTCAAAGTCACATTCGGTTAGAGTCTGCTGATCAGATTCCCCATCTAGGTGATATAAATAGGTAGTCAACATAATCTTCCAATTCGGTATCGTCAATGCAGCACCGACTCTTACAACTCAACCAGATTCCATCAATCATCCCTTCCCTTACCTTGTATTTCGATTTTGCCGCAAACGTCGACTGATCCACCAAGCCAAGCCAAGCAGTCGCATCTTCTTCATCTTTCATCACCCCTCCCCTACTTAGCAAGTCAAGAAAAAAAAGAAAAGAAAAAAAAACATCTCAACTACCGGTACCCGACGCAAAAAGCAACGATCTGGTTTTCCTGCACGGCGCAAGATCTGCTGCTCTTACTTGTACTACGTACGTACCAACCCGACCCCCGACCAACCAACCAACCGGATGGATGGATGGATGGATGGATAGATGGATGCCCTGCGCGGAAGGAAAAGTTCCCGAGCTCGGAACTCGGGCCTCTCCTCATCCGGAGCATCTACCGGTACCACGGTACGTAGTACGTCCCAGGCGTAAGTAAGTATTACCCCTTGAGGGTAGTGTAAGGGAGGTTTATAAGTAGTGGAAACTATACTTTTGAGGCACCCTTGAGGGGTAAGTAACAATTACGCTTGTACCGTAGTATCTAGGTATCTACCTATCTAGCGAAGGGCACGAAGCATCGTCGTCCCGCTGGCGAAGACGTTGTTATTGTTATTGTTGTTATTATTGCTATTGCCGTTTCAAATGGCACGGCGCGCAGAAGAGAAATATCTACTCTACGAGCCGAAAACTCGGCTTGGGATAGGGGATTGTTTTGAGTGGAAGAAGGCGATTACTGGTGGTAGAAGAGAGGTGGTACGGTAGGTACCTTAAAGGCAGGCAGGTAGTGGGGGTCATTCGAGCGATCCTCTGACCTCCTTTTATAAAAAAACGGTAATTAGACCGTCTAAATCTAATACTAGTCATAAATCAAGAATAGTTCACCTTTTTAATTGTCCCCGAGCTTAAAACCCGCCTTATAGGTAGCCGTCCCACGGCCGTCCCCGTTTAGATTTTCAAAATAAGCTTATTTATAAGCTCGTTTTAAAAAACTCAAAATAATTAAATAACTATCTTAATAAATGCATAAATATAAAATTGCAAATAAAAACTATTCTGTAAATGGAATCGTTTTATTAATAATTCAATAAACTCGATGCTAAAATATTTCTCGATATCGCTGCTATGGCTTATACCTTAAAGGCAGGTAAGGGGTCATTGAGCGATCCTCTGACCTCCTTTTATCAAAAAACGGTACTAGTAATTGGACCCGCTAAATCCAATACTAGTTACAAATCAAGAATAGTTCACCTTTTTGATTGTCCCCGAGCTTAAAACCCGCCTTATAGATAGCCGTCCCACGGCCGTCCCCGTTTAGATTTTCAAAATAAGCTTATTTATAAGCTCTTTTTTCAAAAACTCAAAATAATTAAATAAATATCTTAATAAATGCATAAATATACAATTGCAAATAAAAACTATTCTTAAAATGGAATTCTTTGATTGATAATTCAATAGATTCGATGCCAAGATCTTTCTCGGTATCGCTGCCACGGCTTATATATCAAAACGCTTTAAAAAAAATTTATAATCGGAATCGATCGCTTTAATAGAGTTCATCCGGTAATAGGCAGTTCCTACGTCTATTAGAGGGTGGTGGAAGGGAAGTAGATAAGAAAGTAATAAAAGGGAAAGGAGATTATTTGCTTACGAATCCAAGTTCTCCAGGACGGTTCAAAGTTCAAAGACGGCCATAGGACGGTCTTAAAATGGTCTTACAACGCTCGGAGACGGTCCTAAAAAGGGGTTTATACGAAAAGACGAGCTTTTATAAGAGACGGTTTAATCTAATCGAATGAAATAGTTCTATTTTAGCTACGATTTAAATAATTTAAAGCGTTTTTTTTCAAATTCTATTTAATCTTAAGTATCGGCTTAGGGTGATCCACTAACTATGCTAAGCTCTTGCAATTAATTGTCTTTTATAGAGACCGTTGTCGGATTGTCAGCTAACGGTTAAAACAACCCTCTACCTGCCTTGAAGGTATATCGGTAACATTACGGCGTAGCTGTGTATAGGGAGCGCTGATAGTATATATATATATGATTGATCTTCCAACAATGCAAGCCCTAGGATTTTCTTCTCAAAAGTATCTAGATTCTGTTCAATCGATCTAGTCAGTTACCGACGTTAACAACAAAGCGATGGTGAACATGAATGAGCAGCCAAGCACCAGTAAATTTCTCCACGAGATGGATCTGAGCTGTGAGCTGGTATTATTAGGTCGCCGTGCAGGGGGCGGGTTTCTAATCATTATCAAGAGGAGATGGAGGGACAGAGGAAAGAACAGGTAAGATGAGTATAGAGTGAACGGATGGAGGATTGTAAGGACAAGGAACTGTTCCGTTCCGTGGCGCCTGAGCTGGCGATATAAGAATCGAACTCGCTATGAAGGAAGTGGTAAATGATGCCTATTCCTGCGGATCGTGCCCGATGAAGAGAGTGTCGTATTTCGCTGGAAGTTCCTCTCTTGTGCAATGCCCCTCGGGTGAGAGAATTCCTGTATGCCGGAATGGGAGCATTGAAATGGTGAGTAGGACAAGCCGAGGAAGAAAGTCGGACATCTTGTTGAGATAGAATCTTTAAAAGGTTTTGAAACGGGGATTTTAGCGTAGTACTGAAAAAGATGCGTAGATAGCACCGAGATATGCTGAGCTTACCGTTGCGATATAATTACAGGGGCTCGGATAGGCAAACGGATTCGGACCCGTGGGTACATATGCATCGATTCATCTCATTACTGTACTGTTTTTCCCGGAAGCTTCGCCTGACCGACTTCCCACTAGTCTGATTGTCCCCAACCGTTTCGGGACATCGAAATAACACCATGCGCCGTGATATCCCCTTTCCCCAAGCTAGGAGGTGTTAGCGACTCCTAAGTAACGCCAAAGAGAGATGTAGGTGTAAGTATGATCCTCCTATCGCCTGAGCTTTCTCCTCAGCTCCCAAATGCTATACTCTTCTGAATCGTTTTCCATCTCGGCTTCAGATCCAATATTATTAGATTCTGGCTCGACTCCAGCATTCTCGTCCAGATCCGCCATCGCTCGATACGTGTCGGGGAAGAGCGAAGATTCAATGCCTTTATTTCCGAGCAGGAAATCTCCAAAGTACTTCACGGCGTTGAATGCCTCCTCTCCCGTCGGTACAATATTTTCGCATGGTAGCAGGAACCCATAGCTCCCAGTATCACGCAGTTTGATTTGGTAGCTGTACCGGACCCGCATCTCGTGGTAGAACCAGTCTATCGCTGATCCACCGCCATTCTCCATGCGCTTGGTCTCGACTGGGCTTTTACCCTTCCCGGAGATGAATGCCCCTTCGCAGGCGGATGCAACACTGTACAGCGCACCGCTCGAGATTCTGATGGCTTTGGCGAGCCCCATGCCCAGTTCCTCCAGGTTCTCTAAGCTTGGCGGATCGGCTGAACACGAGTATGAGTAAGGATATAAGACCTGCTGCGAGTACGAGTGGAGATCCAGAAATCCGACAAATTTGACCCCGTTGCTTTCAGTCTCATTCTTGGCCCACTGTGCCAGTCGATGAGATTCGACGGCTTGAAATGGTTCATCGCCGGAATAACTTTCTGAGCACGGGTTGTTATGGTAGGTATCCCCATTCCATTGAAACCCAAAGGTACGATCCAGGTCAAGCCCTCGACAGAAGCGCCCACTGGTCTGTTGTCGGTTCTTCCTCCATAGACGGTCAGTCTCCCAGGTGTAGACATATCCATCGGGGTTCGCGGTCGGAATGAGAACGAAATCAAACGCTTGCAGGAGCTTTGTGATTGCCGGAGACTTCCCATATGAGGTGATGAGTGACCATGCAATGTAAGTCGCCGTACTCACCGATACCCATTCTCGAGCGTGGAAGCCCCCGGAAATGATAATCGTTTGCCTTGGCTTACCGTCGCCTTTTTGTCCCAGGTTGGGTGACACGCCAATTCGGAGCGCCTGGATCTCCCGGCCTTCGTAGGTTGTCCCAATACTGATCATCCGCACATGGGTTGTGAACATCGAGGCCATGAGCTCCATCCAAGGGACGATGACCGAGTATGGCTGATAGTTCTGAAAAAAGATATTATCACCACTACCCGACAGCTTTGCCTTTGGTGTGAATGAACGTTCTGTAGCCGCAGCGGCGGGCTCTGCGAAAGCCAAGGACGGATAGGTATGATAGATGCTCTCTGTTAGGTTTGGCATCAAATTCGAGTATGCATTGTGCAACGAGCCCGGAAGTAATCCAAGTAGTGATGGGATCTGAGATAGATATTAGTGACGGAGCTCAAGCTCATGCATGCCACCACGCCTACATCGTCTTCTCTCAGGCGAATATCCGCCCAGTCGCTATTGAATTCCCATACATCCAAGAGCAGTGTGTCGGCCGCCTCTGCCAAAGCTCCCCCGTCGGCTGCCGTACTCAGATTGAATCGGAGGACCACATCTCCTCCGTATCTTGCCAGCAGGGCTGCTGGGAGGGGAGAGTTGGATGGATGCGACAGGGACGGGGTCGACTTTCTGGTCTCAGCCCTGGTCGCCGCTGGCGCCCGATGCCACCAGTATTGTATCGCAGTATCCCGAAGCCATGCCAACCGAGGAAAGAAACCGGGACGGCGGTGGGGAGTAGAGAAGTGGTCGTCGTTCTCGCTGGCAGCCCACGAAACTGCCGCACTGGGCGTGGCACAGAAGACCAGGGCGATCAGGATCAGGAGGAGCGTGAGAAGGGAGGATGGGTTCCTAGCAGTTTGCATGACTGACTAGAGCCGATCTATCTTCTATCGGGTTGATGATTGAGGGTTGATGATTGAGGGTTGATGGCCATGTTGAAAGAGGGAGAGCGACAGCGACCGGGTTCGAGGTTGAAGTTGAGGTTGAGCTTTAATTTCTATGGCCGAGAAGTGGCTGGTGATACCGTACTTACTTAGTGACTGTGGCGCTGGGGTACGAAGGACGGAAATCTTTTTTCCTTCGCGCCCTCTCTCACTTGCGACATGGGCACCGGGACTTGGAAATATGTCAAGAAGTACCAGTAGAGATTGATTATATTGATTGTATTTGTGTTCCTGTGTTTGTATCTATTGTATTGCGTGCGATTATTGAAATTTGAGCTTTGAGAATGGCTCCCTTGCCTTGCCATGCCTTGCCATGCCTTGCCTTGCCTTGCCTTACCTTGCCTTGCTTACGTTGCCTTACCTTACGTTGCCTTAATTTACTCGAATTTGTTCTGTAATCCAATAAATCCAAGTATATCCAACCTTTTCTCGCCCATGCTTGTCTGTCTCTCTGTCTGTCCGTCGCAGTCAGAGTCAGACAATCAACAACTCATCCGCGGCTCCTTCGTATACCCGCACCCGCGCCCGCACCTGCACCTGCACCTGCACCTCCAATCGCGCCGCGTATCCTTTGATCTTGCTTGCTTATAAGTAAGCTGAGACGGAATCTGAATATCTTTCGTTGCTTACCCTTTTCACCTATCTATCTACCTCTCTCTCTCTCTCCCTCTCCTTCTCCCTCCCCCTCTCCCTTCCCCCCCTCCCCTCTCCCCCTCTATTACACTTCCGTGAAGAAGAAGAAGAAGAAGAAGAAGCGATCAAAAAGAAAAAGAAAAACAAAAACAAAAAGAAAAACAAAAACTATTTGCCCGCATCGCATTGCGGTTCCCAGTCAGTCACTCACTCGTTTGAACGCACCCTCAAGGGTATTCCCAGCCTCGAGGCCAATCTCCAGCCTCCAAACCTCCAACCTCCAACCTCCGACACCGACAGTCTCCCAACGTCCACCCATCGCAAATGATTGTGCTCTCCGTCTTCTTTCCAGTAGAGAGAGTGCTCGCAATCAGGAATCAATGATTCCACATCGCCATTCCTCCCATCATGCCTCTCATGAACGGCTTCTTGCGTCGCAAAGGTCCCGCAAGTAACGCTGAGCTTCGACGACACAGCTTGTACGCGCTCGATTCCTCGAGCATCCCGGCAGTACCGGTCATACCAGACTTCCACAGCAGGGCCAGTGAGCAGACAGCTGGCCACCCTCTAGCCGCAGACCGAGGCTTCCCGTCCCAAGATACCGTAGTGAATGGTGCCTCCGCAGCCGGGACGCCGGCGGAGGCTGGTTATGAGTCCCTGCAGCGGACCGTGTCCCCTCCAATCCAAGATCAGACGCAGAAGCATCGCCGCTTCAGCATGCTCAAATTTCGACATGCCTCGGACTCTCAGCTGGCAACCAGGGGTACGTACTTATGGCAATCTTGGTGGAGGTCACTGTACGGTAAAGCTAATATACCTATCCATCGCAGCGCGCCTGCAAGCTCGAGCCGAAGCCGAAGCCCCTCCTCTACCAAAAACCATGTCCCAGAAACACCAAAACATGCTCAGTAGCGGTCCATACAATAACCCGATAGCTCCCGAGATCATCACCACCGCCCCCACCATGGACGCGAATGGGCCGCGACCGGTCAAGAAGCAATCGAAGTCGATAAGAGGAAAGAACCCCTCGACGGACAGTCAGGCAGATGACCGAATGCAAATTCCAGCGACCAAAAGGCATCGAATGGAACGGAGGAAAACCATGTCTGATACAGCCTCACCTGGAAGTAAGGGCAGAGTTACTTTTGATGCAACTAAGCGCCCGTCTACGCAGATTGGTCCTTCTCCTCCGGCTTATGGCGACGAGGGCAGTTCTACATTGGCTCTGCCTGTCTCCCGCATATCGATGTCTTCGAGGTCGGACGGTAGTTCTGGGGAGCATGGGGTGTACGCAACTACGACGACTACTACCCATACCGTCCACACTACAACTACCTTCTTCCGTCTCCCTCGTCGCAAAAAAGCCGCTCCATTGTTCGACCTTGCCCACCTTCGACAAAAACCTGGTAATCAGGAGTCTTCGTCTTCCCACTCGCTGGCAGCTTCTCGTATTTCTGCAGGTTCTTCCAGAGCCCCAGGAACAGAGTCTTCTGCAGTGAGAGCCCTGCGGTCTCCTTCTGCTGAAGATTTAGCCAGCCCGCGCTTCTCAAATCCACTTCCCTCCCCCTCACATCCGAACCTTGCTCTTGCAAAGACATCCGCTGGTTTTGCTGCCGCACCCGGGGTGCCCTTGATGCGACGAGGCTCCTCCTCTTCTACTCAATCATCGCCTAGTCATACACAACTTCGTCTGCGGGGCCGATCGTCTACTTTAAGTTCTGTACGAAATAGGCCCACGGAGGATTCGTTAGCGGCGGCCACATTACCATCTACCCGGACTTCAACCTCAACTGGTAGAAAGAGCTTTGGCGACCTTTTTGGTCTGTCTCACAGGCTGAGGCAAAATTCAGAACCGCCTTTTCACCATGGCTCTGGCCCAGCCACTCCGGGCTCTAACAATTCCAAGCAAAATTCGATACAGCTGCATAGAGAAACCCCGATCATCCTACCAGAGAGACACGAAGACGATACGCCTGCGAAATACCTCGTTCGCCTGGAGGAGGTAGTCAGTAGAGGCATCGTTGCCAGCGTGCTATCGAAAGGCACGGATCCATTCTCTCAAGCGGTGTTGAGAAGTTATATGCGTGGCTTCGGATTCTTTGGCGATCCAATGGACATGGCTATTCGGAAGCTGCTTATGGAAGTTGAGCTGCCCAAAGAAACTCAAGAGATTGATAGATGCCTTCAGGGATTCGCGAACAGGTATCACGAATGCAATCCCGGCATATATGCATCTCCTGACCAGGCGTATTTCATCGCGTTCTCGCTCTTGATTTTGCATACGGACGTCTTCAACAAAAATAACAAGCACAAGATGCAAAAGCCGGACTATCTGAAGAACACTCGTGGTGAAGGTATCTTCGATGAGATTCTGGAATGCTTTTATGACAACATCTCGTACACACCTTTCATCCACGTCGAGGATGATCTTGATATAAACGGCGAGCGCATTGTCCAGCACAAGACGAAAAAGAAATCGATATTTCCTCGCGGGGCCGTGGATCCTACAAGACGGCCCTCCAAGGAACCTGTTGACCCATATACTCTCATCATAGACAGCAAGCTTGATACCCTGAGGCCGAACCTGAAGGATGTGATGTGTCTGGAAGAACCATACACTTACCTTGGCACAGCTCCGTCGTTAAACCTTCAAGATCTGCAGAAGACATTCTTCCGAACCGGGGTTCTACAAATCGTTTCCGCCAGGTCAAGACCTGACGCTTTCATGAATGACAAGACTGTCAAGAATCCTGATGAGGCCCAAGCAGGAATAGTTGATATCAAGATCACGAAAGTCGGGCTTCTATGGCGCAAAGACGCGAAAAAGCGGAGAACCAAATCCCCATGGCAGGAGTGGGGTGCTATCCTCACGGGTGCCCAGCTCTACTTCTTCAAAAATAGCGCGTGGATCAAAAACCTGATGCAGCAGCAAGAAAGGCATATCAAGGAAGGACATGATGGGAGTGCTGTCGTTTTCACCCCTCCCCTTGCTGAGTTTAAGCCTGACGCACTCATGTCGACGGATGACGCCGTTGCTCTGCTAGACACCACCTACAAGAAGCACAAGCACGCCTTCATATTTGTCCGCCACGGAACTTTCGAAGAGACATTCCTCGCCGATAACGAGCAGGAAATGAATGACTGGCTCGCCAAACTAAATTACGCCGCTGCTTTCCGAACCTCCGGCGTACGGATGCGAGGTGTTGTAGGCGGACACTACGACGGCCAGAAGACTCGTGGTATCAGGCGACTCGACAGTCATAACGAGTCGACCAAAACTATATCCTCTCCAACAGGGGAGGTCACGATCACAAGTGGTAAGATAGACACCAAGATGGCCCATGATATTCTTGCAGCCCGCCGCGAGATTATGATACAGAAGATTGCCGATGCAGAGGCAAAGCTCGCTGAGAAACAGGAGCGATTGGACGACCAACTCAGAAATGCTCGTCATCTCCAGATTCTCGCACCAATTCAGCCCAAGAGCCGAGAGCAAGTCATCCTGGCTGCTGGACGAATGGCTGCCCAAGTCAAGTGGGGACGAATGGAAATCTGGCGTCTGAAATGTCACAGAGACATTCTCAAGATGGACTTGGAGGAGGAGAGGAACCCCGGTGCTTCTTCGCTGCCAAAACATGAGATGGAAATCCCGCTGCCGCTTTCCGAGCGGGCGAGTCTGGCACGTTTGCCGTCGAAGGCCAGCACTGTCACTCCGCAGCAAACACCTCGGTCGCCCATGTCGACCCCCGCCAATCGCCCATCCACTGCAACACAGCCAACATCACCCAGAGGTTCTGAACCGGGATCAGACGATGTTTTCCAGACTCCTCCTGAGCTAACGAAGTCCTCAAGCTTTCATAACCACCAAGCATCCTGGGAGCTTCCACCCCTGACCTTCGAGGCTCTCAGTCCACAGAGGCCTTCAACCTCAAGTCCAAAGTTGCATTCCGATCCGGGCGTGGCCCCAACGCCGTCAAAGGCCAGCCCGAGACCGATGACAGGTGGCGATTCTCAGCGTGCCCCTTCTCCGAACGTTGATGCGGCCGAGCAAGCGGTCCTTGAGCAAGCAGGACTCATCGATACCGATAAGACGCCAGACGGAAAGCGCCCTGGAAATGGACTAGAAGCCGAAGAGAGCAAGGAAAAGATGGATAGAGGAAAGATTCGCAGAAGCTTGCATCGCACACTAAGAGAGGCTCATGTTCCACCGCACGCGCGCAGTCGGAAAGGCAAGGACTCCTCGTCAAGCGCTGGATTGTCTGAAGAGGATGTTCTGTCTCGTGGTAGTGGGAGTTTCGTTGTCCATGGCAAAAAGGCTTCAGTCATAACCTTCGGGTCCGAATTTCAAAGCATGTCACCTGACGAGCGTCTGCGACTACGAAAACAGGTGCACAAGGAGGAGCCCCTCTCGTCTCCAGCAAGTATTGACGACGATTTCCACTCCCTTCTCGCCGAGCCTTTCGATTTACATGAACGACATGGCTCACAAGCAACAACAAGCTCCGCGACAGCTAAAAGCTTTAGAGATTTGCACAGAAAACTGGCTGGGCACGCGCTAGCTGTCGGCTCTGATGGTGATGATAGCGATGCTGCGGTTAGCTTTTCTGACGGCAGACGAACACCACAGCCACCAGTCGAAGATGAAGATGAGCACTTCGTCGACAGCCACCCGAGCCAAGCAATGTTCTACACCCCCGAACACGAACGCTCGCCGGCTGCGCACGCTCTGCCCGAGACACACCTTTCACCAGTGCCTCACGGTGACGCATACCAGCTCGAGAGCCCATCCGAGAACGAATGTCTCCCTCCATTAAAAGCTGTTATCAGCACCTGAAGCCCAATCACCGCACACCCCTTTTACATTCTCCCTACAAACGCTTTCCACCGGCACAACTACGCATTACGCAATTTCACCCCTTCTTCTTCTTCTTTTTCCCCTCCCTGGTTGCGAGCATGGCATGGATTGCTGAGTATGACTCGGCTTGCAAGGAGCCTAACGGACAAACGATAAAAATTTCCTGCGGTCTTGGGCGCATTCGATTCTCTACTGTACACTAGATGGTAGACCACATTGACTGGCCTCTTTCTTTTGGCTTTTACTAGGGGGCTTTGGGTGACTGGAACGATGGCGTACTTTTGGCTGGGATGAGGCTTCAGGACATGGCTTAACCTGGGCCTAGGTGTTAAGAGCGTAGCGAGTAAGATGCTCGCAGATGGTATGATGTGGAGTGGGTGTGATAAATATGAGACACACGTTCGCTTGTATGCACGGGACCCTTGATGAAAAAAGAGCCCTTGATGATTCTGTGAGCGATCAGGACTGTGTCTATTTGATTGAGAAAAAAATGCACTTTGGAAAGCTGGCGACGTGTGTCGCTTGGTTGCGCAGACCTCTCTCTGTAGGACGTACCAGATCTTACTATATAAGTAAGTATCTGTAGGAGCTCCTCTTACACGGAAATGGCCAACGACCAACTCGAACAGGTTGGCATTGCCTGGAAGTAGTATCGCTGGAACTCGACCTCACATGCATTACTGTGGAAGAATCAAGATAGATAAGATGACTGCGATTCAGCAGCTGGTGGAGTCATGTTGGGTGCGGCCTTGCTGCTATCCAAACTTGAGACTGGTTGGTGAGTCTGCGGAGTATAGGTAGGTATATGTATGGCCCCGCCTCCGGCTCATTTTGATCTCGCATCCTGTGTGCTCGAACTGCACCTCGCGCTGTGTCTACCTCCGGACTGATGAAGAAGCGTTGGGCAGCACATTTGAAGAATTCCTTTTGGAGGCGAGAATGCAGATTTACTGGCCTTGGAGCAGAGATCAAGCGGACTGATTCCGGAGAATTCACAAAGACGTAGGTAGGGTGTGATCCGCCACGGGCCAATGCAGAGATAGATGCCTCGCTAATGCAGGTCAACAACATTGCTCAGGCTGTTATCAACTCGCAATTTCATGTCTACTTCTTCCCCTTCTTCTTCTTTGGCTTCCCTCCGGACGCCTTCTCCACCTTGACACTGCCCGCTCCCCCAGCCAGCTCCAAACTCTCCTCTTCCTTGACCACGCCACCCTGCGTCAAATCCGCCGCCTTCTTCTTCCCCTTCTTGCCCTTCGGCCGATAACTACTGCGATCGCGAAGCGGCAGCCATCGCTCTGGATCCATCTTCTTGCCCTCTTCGAAGTCCTTCGGCATGCGCTTCTTGCTGAGCTTCTGTTTCTTCCGCAGCATGGTCTTTTCTTTCTCTTCGGCGCTGCGTTTCTTGGTCGTTGCTGCTACCGCCGGGACCAGGACAGAGGGGATTCCCGCGTCTTCGAGAGCGGCGGCATCGATGCCGGAGATGAGGCGGGAGATGGGAGTTAGCTTTTCGAGATCAGGAGTGACTTTCGCGAGATCGGTGGTAGCGTAAGAAGCGACGTAGCCGGCAATGGCGGTGCGGTCGTTGGGATCTTGGGTCCGGAGGGTGGAAAAGATCTCACCGGCTGTGGAGAGATCTCTCGAGCTTGCAGACTCCAAGTGAGCGATGCCTGCTGCGCGGAGGAGTGATACAGAGGGTTTAGATTTCCGGCGCCAGTAGGAGGCGGCTCTTCCTAATTCTGTCTTGATGGGGGCTTTGCGGCCGGAGAGTCGATAGAGGGACACGGCAAGGGCAACGAGGCCAGGGGCAAAGCGGACGTCTTGGTCGGCGGGCGACGTGGACTCTTCGAGACGCTTGAAGAAAGATTCGAGAAGGTTTATGGCGGACCCAGGGTTGTTGGTTAGGATGTAGAGCTGGATGATGACGAGAATCAGACCAACATCTTTGGGTCGCTCTTCCAATATGGGAAGAATGGTTTTGAGACTGGCTTTCCCTATCTCGTTTTTTGCGTGGCCGGCTGCGTTGAGAACCGCTAGAGAGCTGATATATGGCGAGATGGTTGGAGATGGCGAGGTTGAGATTACCGAAGCGGTAGAATATGCAACTCCAGCAAACTTTCGCGACTGGAGATTAACGGCATATCTATTACGCTCCAAAATACTCGCTTGGTGTTTGAATAGCTTTTCCGTCGGAGAAAGAACAGGGACTGCCTCGAACATACGTTGAGTCATGTAAGGATTATCAACCTTGGTTGAGGCGGCCAGACTGTTATTTTGTGCGATGACGCGGGTAGGAGGCTCGGGGACACTGGGGATGGGTTAGCAAGGATCGGCTCCAGGTTTCATTGTAACATACTCAGCAATGCTGATCATCTTTTGCAAGCCTTCGGCCTCTTCTACCTTTCCGAGCTTTGTCAGAACATAGACTTGTTGAACCATAATTGGAAGGACCTCTGCTCTCTTCTCCTGTTCACTCAAATCGTCCAATGCTTCACAAAGATCTCTTGCCCTCTTCAATAGCACGCTTCCCGAGCCCAAGTCTCCTCTAGCGATATATCCACAGGCAGCATTATACGCCGTCTCGAATGCCTCCAAATCCTCCCTCGATGGCTTCTTCCGGCTCGGCTCGACTTTGTCTCCATTGCCTTGCCACTCCAGCTGCGCATCCGCGGCAGAGCTGTTGATCCGTAGATCGTTCTCCTCCCCTTCGATTGATCCGGATTGCGAACTCAATTCTTGGTAGATTCGAGCCGCGTCCTCAAATCTCTCGGCGCGATACGCAACCTGGGCGGCTACATGCTTCAAACCCCTCTTGCTTGCGCCCTGAACAAGCCTGTGCGCCTCGGCGAGCTGCCCGGTCTTGTATAGCGCATATGCCTTCTCGAGTACGCAGCGCCCTGCCAGCTTGTCTCCACCGTCGTCGAGGGCTCGTAGGGCGTCTGCGAAGCGGTCGAGCTTGAGGAGGGCAACCGCTCGGGTGTGTAAGGCATCGGGGTCGCCTTTCGAGGTCTTCAGGACAGCATTGGCGGCTTTGAGAACTTCCTCGTGGTCCTCAATCGTCGTACCTCGCAGCAGGGCGTTCAAGGCCGCAGTGGGGTTTGCCATGGCGGGGGCGTGTTTGCGCGAATAGCTTCCTTCTCTTTGGGGGTAAGTCGGGCTGGCTTCCTACTACTGAATGTATAGCGTACGAATTGCTTCCCAAAGTCAGCCCCGAGATATGGGCTCTCAGGTAAAGGAGGGCCGGAGACGAGGACGAGGACGAGGACGAGGACGAGTGAATGCGGGTCATGTGATATTGTGGGGGAGGACGGATGCTTTCGATACGGAGGAAAGTGGGATAAAAGTCGGGCCGCGATATCTCGGGGTATTTAGGTAATTAAGGATTAGCTAGAATACTCAATCCAGTCCGGGTTATAAGGAAAGGATTACAAAGGACGAGTTAAAGATTCGAAATAGGTAAAGATTCCAAATTACAGATCCCAAATTTCAATTGCATTTCTCACCAACACAAGCTGGACTTGAAGATACGCTCTTGCTCTTGGCATATTATCTGCCCGATTTGCCAAATAACCACCAGGCACTTAATCCTCCAGATTAGAAGGCTTCAATCGTGTTTGCTTCTTCTATTGTCTCTCTTCTCCTCTATTCTCGCGTCTCTCTTCCCTCTGCTCTCTTCTCTCTGCTCTCTTCTCTCTTCTCTCTTCTCCATAAACCAAATTCCTGCTCCCCACTCTTACCATAGTTACATAAGTTGGCGCTGAGAGCTGTTTGCTATATGTTATCAGGGCAGAGTAAGCAGAGCCCCCGGCCATCAATCAGCTCGCAATATCTGCTCATTCCAGAGTCAACCCGTCAGCCAGCAATGGAAGCCTCCCAATTCGAATCCCAATCCCAATCCCAATCCCATTCCCAATCTCAATCCCATTCCCATTCCCAATTCCACCGCCATCAATCACCCCCGTCCAGCTTCCCCAACATGGCGTCCGAGATGCACCACCAGCAGCAGCAGCAGCAAAGCCAGGACGAGATGTCGAACCAGTACCCACAACACGCCTATGACTTCAACCTCGAGTATCCCCCGCCGCCGCCGGTCCAGAGCCATAGCGCTCAGCTCCCGCTGATGGCGGTACCGGGACACGATCATTGGGAGGGCACCATGAGCCTTGACGCAACCGGGCAGACCGCTCCGGCGGGCGTGCATCCAAGGATAACGGCGACGATCTGGAAGGACGAAGATACAGTATGTTTTCAGGTTGATGTTGGTGGGATATGCGTTGCTAGGAGAGAGGGTCCGCCACTTGTTTCCTTCTCTGACCCCACGTCCCGAATCTTGGGACAAAGTCCACAATCCGTACGCGTTTGCGGAAAACTAACGATGGTGGTAGATAACCACATGATCAATGGAACCAAGCTCTTGAACGTAGCTGGCATGACTCGTGGCCGCCGAGACGGCATCCTCAAAAGCGAGAAGCAGAAACACGTCGTGAAGATTGGCCCGATGCATCTGAAAGGCGTTTGGTCCGTTGCTTTTTTCCTTTCCCTTTCCCTTTTCCATATGCCAGCCACACTCTGCCCTTTCTTTACTACGTCTACGTACATTCGCACCGAGTGTACATACACATACACTGACAACCCTCGACAGGATCCCATTCGAGCGCGCCCTCGAGCTCGCCAACAAAGAGAAAATTACCACCGCGCTCTACCCGCTCTTCGTGCACAACATCGGCGCCTTGCTAGCCCACCCTGTAAATAGTGGCTATCCCGCCGCAGACGTGGCCCAGATCCCGCGCAACCAGGAGGCCATTGCTTACCCACAGGGTATGCAGAATGTGAGATCCGACATGATAGATCCGCAGATGAGAGGCTTGAGCTCCGTGCACGCGGAGAACGAGAATGGACAGGGTGCGTATGAGTATGGTCACATCTAGGTGAGTGCTCTCGCCTCTCGCAGAGGAAGAGGGAAGGGGGCTATTGATACGCTCGCCCAAGAAAGGCGTGCGGCCATAACCCGGGAGTGGGAGCTCGCTGTGGTGGAGTTTTGGGGTTTGAAAATTTGACAAGGGTGGATCACCGCATGAGAATATGATGCGAGACGATATACCGTACCTATGCGGCACGGGAATTTATGCATTGCTTGACTGGCAAGAGGGAGAGCTCTTAACGACGAATCTATGACTCGGGGGTCTTGTTGGCAGAAACCAAAGCGTGTATGTAGTTTTCCAGTAGTTGAACTGGCACGTTATGATGAAATATAACACCTGCAGCAGATTCACTTCCACCCACCAGATGCCACTTGCCACTTGCCACTGGTCTGCAGTCCTGCTAGAATACCAAGATCTCTTTTTTTGTCACAAACACCGAAGGTCTCCCTTGGTGAGATCAACCAACCCGTCCTTAATTCATCATAGCCTTCCCTTCCCGTGAGAAGAGGACAAAGCTCCTTGTTATCATATAGAGGACGGGCGAGAAAGATTTGTACTGCTAAGGAGTAGGGAGAGCCCTGAACTCCTGGAACACTGCCTCTTGCTGTGGCGTCTACCCGCGGTGACGCTTGCGGGAGCTGCCTGGGGTGGGGTGCATTCTGTCCTGCTTCTCGCGCTTGAGCTTCTCGTCGAGGACGCGGGCTATTTCCCAGCGTTAGCAAGGTAGGAGAGGAAATTTAGGAGAGCGAGCTTACTGAGAACGTCGTATCCGAATTGCGGAAACTCCAAGCACATCGAGCGGAACTCGTCCTCGGCCTCGGAGCGCAAGGTATGCGAGCGGGTGGCCCAGAAGTTGGCGACAGGCGAGCGGATCGCGGTGTCGTCCTTCTGGGTGTGAGCATAGACGTATCTGGCATACACGATCTCGCCCTTGGCGGTCGAGTTGACGCAGTGGATCTTGGACGAGGCGAGGGACTTCAAGACCGGGAGGTTGAGCATGTCGGCGAGCGTGTACACGCGGGCGTGCTTGAGGAGCTGGTCCCCCGTCTCGTCGACGTCCGGGGCCGTGGAATCGCGCTCGAGGTCGCGCGTGCCGGCAATCTTGCGGGGGAAGTAGTCGCCGGTGTAGAGAAACTCGAGGAAGCATCCGACGGCATCTAGCTCTTCGTCGACGAGGTCAATTCGGCGTTCCTGGGGTCATGGTGGGTCAGCGCGTGGAGGAAGTATGGATTGCGGAACTCACAGAGACGTCGTCGCTGAATTTGGCGCACGCGTCGGCGAACCATGGGCTGCGGACCAAGAGAGCTTGATGCGCAGTCAGGAGAGCCTGCTCGTCGCCTTGTCCAACCAAGAGGCCGATGACGGGACTCCTCAGGTAGTCGATATAAGTTGTGCGAGCGGCGACCTCCTCCACGGGCTCTCCTTGGAAAGGCATTCCATCCTCTCCAGCAGCGACGGCCCCAATCTCCACCACTGGGACGTCGCCCGTCATTTCTACATCGACTGGCGTGTCCCCGGGTATAAGCTCCTCGTAGTTCTCTCCTGCGTCCGCCATTATTTCAGGTTGGTTAAGATGACTGGGTAGAGATATATCGAACTTGGTTAGACAGATGGGTGAATAGGTAGGAGGTAGGTTGAATGGAGGAGATTCGAGCCCGCTGAGGTAATAGAATCGGTCGTTATGTATGGATTTGCGCCGCGAAGGAAAGAAAACGAGTGGCCGAAGGGTCGATTCGAAGGAACGAAACCCAATTGAATTGAATTGGATTGGATTAATCTGATCTGATGGTCGGTCCAATTGCGACTGACTGATGATGCGAGCGGACGGGGAGACCTCGAGGCAAACTTGGGTCGGAGCGGGTTGGTAGAGGCCTTGCGATTCAGGCCACCAACCTTCCACCGGCTGAGTATTTTGTTGTTTCTTCTTTTTTCTTTGATGCGAATAAATATAGACAGGTCTGTTCAGTCAGTCTCCATCTTCCGGTCCCTTAAGATGTAACGGAAACTGACGCTTTACTTCTCATCAGGAGTCCTTTCCAGAGTCTCGAATGAACGTTTACAAGGGAGACCCGCTAGAATCGCTTTGCCTACAATCCGGTACCTGCGTAAACTCTTTGGCCTGCATATGCAACATGAAAGTAACCAGAAGAAGGAATCTGCTGCGTGAGAAGACATCCTGTATATAAATGTAAATAAACTGCATATGAGTGGATATGATATATACGTTCATACAATCAGCATGTTTCTTCTCCTACTGCCTCTCACTATGTCGCATCGCTACACCGACGCCTAAGTAGCGTCAAGGGGTTTGTCACATAGCGGAAGCCAAGTTCAACAAGTTCAACGTCGTATTCAGCTTCATTCATTCCTGGCATCAGTTCCTATATCGTCACGATCTTTCCATCTCTATATACAAGCCTTTTGCTAAGATCTGCACTCAATAGCCATATCTGGATATAGCCATATCTGGATACCACCTTGACCACCAACTTATGATCGTCGAGCTCCTTGAACGTTTCCATATCCTGCTGGCGAAACCCAATCTGTATCTGAGTCGAAGTATCTTTGTGGCTCGGGTCCAGAATCTTGAGCTGACAGCCTTTCGCGGGATTCTCATTCCAAGAATCGATCTCGGCTTGGGATGCTTTGTCGGTCGGAATGTCTGGTACGATAGTCATGAGGCCTTCATCCCAATACTCTTTGAATCGAGTCGCGAGGTATCGATCAGACAAAGACAAAAAAAAAAAAAAACACCACGCTATACGCGAGAACGCCAATGCAATGCAGTTCATCATAATGACAGCCTAAAGCCCAGCTATGCGTCGACCTCTGTCTCCAGTAGTCGGGATAGGCTTCTCAAGCCTCAAGCACCAGAACAGCATATCCTCCAGAGGCAACATCACGAGGAACACCTTGTTACACCAAAACGCAGCAATAACGACGAAGAAAGAGACACACGCATCCAGATAATAATGGTTCGCTGTTGCCACGATGGTAATAAGAATCCAGGACGGATAGCCAACGGCAAGAAAGAGATAGAAGAGTTGCCATGGCTTCGACTTGCGCGTCTCACCAGGCTCGAGCGACCTTCGAAACACGCCCGAGTGGTAGAACATCGTGGAGCCTATGCAGAAGGAGTAGCCGAAGTGCATGGAGGGCATCGCGGCCAGGGAGTTGACATATTTCCCGCTCATCCAGACGCTCTCGGCATTGTTGTGTCCTACGCTATCAAGAAAACCGTACTCGCGGGGCAGAAGGCGAGGAGGCATGCACGGGAAGAGAATGAATATGATGAAGGCGAACAGGTTGGTGAGGGTCATGGTACGTCGGACAGTAGAGAAAGTGTTGAAAGATGGGGCGACATAATAATACCACGCGATAAATCTGGACCCGGTCAGCAGCTATCTCGAATCGCCAGTCGGGAAACGTACCCAACAGTCCCTGGGATATGGATCAGCGCATACGAGCGGTTGAGGACAGTCAGGAAGGTCTGGTGGCCGTGCATGAACCATTGCTGCACATCCCGCTCGTGTACCGGCCAGAGAAAGCTCAGCCAGGAGAACTGCTCGAATTCCAGAATTGACAAGCCGTGATCTTGTGCTACCTCCCAGATGCCCGTCTTCGAAAATATGGCCTGCGAGGTGATACTGGTACAACGATAGAAGGCGTAGGTGATTATCCAGTAGAACATCTCCTGCAGAAAAGGAAACTTCTGCATGATCCGGCTGTGGAAATGGTCTGCGAATCGCGAGGTATTGGGCGTATATAATTTTACTCCACAGCACCACCGCTTCTTCGGGGGGTTCTTCATTGAGGATATGGACGCGTCGTCGTCATGGGTGATGGAGTATTCTCGAGTGAGAAGGTCGTCCGACGAGCGGGCTGAGTCTTCGTCTGGGTCACCGTCCAAGAGTCCATCCCCCTTCCTCCTCCTTCCTAGCAGACGATACCTTCTCCTCCTTGTCAGTATCATCGAGCCTACTAATATGCTGGCTACCATCTGCGCCGGTTGTCAGTTTGGCCTTGCTGAGGTACCTCTGGAGTGTATTCTCACAACTGGCTCCGCCCACTTTGGTAGTAACCAGGCTGGCGCCGAGTTCCATTGCGGCTCCTCCCATGGGAAGGTGGCTAGGGAATGGTTATGGTTTTGCAGTTCTAGTTCTCCCATTCTCTCGTTCTTTATTTTCTTCTTTTTTTCCTTCTTCCTTTCGTTCCTGCGTTCGTTCCTCCGGTTGTTTGTTTGTTGTTCGTTCGTTCGTTCTTCTCTTTGATCCACCCTTCTTCGCGTCGGTATGCTCAGGCCCTCGTTGGCAGTCGCTTGTCGAGATTGTGTAGGTATAGGTAGGTAGGTAGATAGGTGTGAAGATAAGGAGATAGTAGGTCTCTGATTATACTGCTACCAGGAGCATAGATACGTGGAGTCGAAAATGAGCGTGGGTAGCTAGAAGGTGGTAGATTCGAAGGTCAGATCGCGACCTCAGTTGGAGAAGGCATGGGGAGAAGACGCGGGGGGCGGAGTATCCGTATTTGCAGTCTCAAGGGGATTACTCCAGGCAATTCAGTGTGTACGGAGTGTTTCTGGACCGACTTATGCCTTGACGCCAAGAGGATCTGCGGAGGTCCGTAGGAGAAGATGGATGGACCGAGCCCGTGGTGACGATTAACCGACGGTCAAAGTATTGACTTGTGTTGATAATGTTGTATCTCATCCAGGGTATATCAATTCTTACCATCTATGTATTGCACCTTTGGATTGTCAATCAGCATAGGTCTTCCTTAGTCATACACTTATATACTATTTACCTCTTTACCTCTGTACCTCTTTAACTCTTTACCTCTTTACCTCTTTACCTATTCACCCATTTACTTACTCCATCTCCCTTCCCTTGGCAGCCTGACACGCATCCTGGCTCGGCTGAGATAGGGGCCCCTATACGCTCGCTAAACGAGAGTTCCCGTCCGGTGGCTGAGAGCTGGCACAGAATAGCCGTCGGCCCGGAGTGTATCGGCTATAAATAGACATATCAGATGAAAACATTTCGACTGTGTTTATGAATTTGCCGATTGTAGATATATCGATAGAAATATCGATTATACGGAAGGTATATAAACTATAGAAATATTCTCCGACAAATTTTCATCGACAATATATATATATATATATATATGTGTGCATGTGTGTGTCGACTACGCATATATCGATTACAGATATAAACATAAATGCTATCTACACAAACAGATACCACATATATTTCAACACATCCCATACGTACTTAAACTGTACTCCAATACTTTGCTGAGATGGTCGCTTCGAATTCCTCACACCCTACCGCGTGGCCGTCGGCAAAATCTTAACGAGAAAAATCCAGCGCGCTATCAATGATGAACTTCAGGGCCTCGCTGCGGTAGTCATCCTTTTCGATAAAGCTTGTCGTGCTGCCCTCAAAAACTATGTTCGCTGGGGCGTCAAGAGAGTACATCGGCCAAGTCGCATTGAAAGACGATACTAGAATACGTGGTTCTGGTTAGCCAGTCCTTCATGCTCCGAGGCTACCTACAGATCATAGCAGATCACGGCCACAGCATGTACAGTCACGATGGGGGTCTTACATTTGTGGTTGTTGGGGGAGTGCGTGGCAGCAAAGCTCATCCACATTCGACTCATGAGCTCCCCCAGCGCCCGGTACGACAGTGCGCGCGAAGCTGGCTCTACCGGAAAGGGGCTGGAAACCATTCCGGTGCCGAGCACATTGTTGAAAACGAATGCGACCTCCTCGAAATGTGTGGCTCCCTTCTTGAGGGGGTCAACACCGGCAGGAATTGCGTTGAATCGGTAGCTGTAGCATGGAATTCCGTGCTGGGCCCAGAGCTCGCAGGTGTAGCGGCGGCCAGCAACAAACTGGGCATCGCCATTCCATCTACTCGCACGATTGAATTGGGCACCATATCCCGGAGGGGTGATGGTATCGTCTGACTGGCCGTGCAAGGAACTGGATCCGGGGTACGGATACAGGGCCACAAGAGTATCCACGGTCGCCGGGGTGGTGGTGTAAATGCCGGTCGGAGGACTTTGGAGCACGTTTCTAAAGTCCTCCGTGGTGTTGATACTAGGCGAGGTGAACAGCTTGCCTTCGTCGGTGTTGGTACCGATGATGAGGGGGACCTTGACGAAGTTGCCCTTTCCGAGGGCGACTGAGTTGTACGTCGGGATCAGCCCTCCATCGACGACGGGCAGAAACGCGAGCTGGGAGAAGGTTGAGTTGAGAACCTCGAATGGTGCTGCGCGGAGACATGCAAGTTCATCCTGCGACGTTGTGCAGTTGGTGGCATTCAAGACGGCCTGGTAGTTGGCCTCCCCGACTTCGCTACTGTGGTAATTACCAAAGAACCACTTCATGCAATGTCAGCCTTGCTCATAGCGGAGATTGAGTACGCAGTCTCATGTAATATACTTATATATTTATATGACAACCGCATCGCAAGCAACCCGGGAAGATGATCTGTACTTACAGGTCCTCCGCTTTGACAGATAGCAGCAGAGAACAGTTTCTCATCACGACCTCCATAAGCCAGCAGGTGGTGGCCTATAGAAATGGCACCAGCAGACTCGCCGTATAGCGTGACCCGAGACGCATCACCGCCAAAGGCTGCAATATTCTCTTGGATCCATTGCAGCGCGAGTCTCTGATCATGGAGTCCGATGTTGTTGAGACCTTGTCCTCGGACCTTATCTCCGGCCAGAAATCCCCAGCCTTTGAGACGATAGTTCATGCTGACCATGATGGCTGGTTGGCCCATGTTGACGGAGTCCTGGAGCATGTAGGACATGTTGTAGCGGCCGTCCGATGAGCCTCCCTCTTAAGTGGACATTAGCGATGTCTCTTCCACTATGGCGGACTCCTGTTACTTGCCCTGGAATCCTCCACCATAGAAATAAACCATCACAGGAACTCTGGACTCCTCCGTCACATTCGACGGCCGCACAACATTGATGGTCAGACAGTCTTCACTGTGGGTGTACGAGGTGAGGTAGTTCGGGGGGTCCAAAACAACGGGAAATAGATATTGGGAGCACATCGGTCCGTATTCCGTTGCGTTGAGAGTCCCATCCCAAGTCTTGTTGATGGGCTGGGGGAGGTTGAAGCGGAGATGGCCAAGTGGTGGTTGAGCATATGGAATGCCCAAGAAATGGTCCTGCTTGTAGGATGCGACGTACCTGCCCACTACCGTTCCATTCTTGATGGTAACTGTGGCCGCGAGGATCTCGGTGATGGTCGTAGATAGGGCCGCGACGGCCGTGAAAAAACGGAACGTCAACATGGCGAGTAGCTAGCTAACCGAAGAGTCCCAAAGCTAGGTAGGTGAGCGAACCTAGGTAGGTCGGTGTACACAAATATCACAACGTCCGCGTCCGCGTCCGCTCTGCGGGAAGCCCAATCATTTATATAATATAGTAGTAACATGACAAGATACCTACAGACGGATCGGCTGCTACATCCGGTAAAATGAGCCAACCAGAGTCCCGTTCCGATGACATCCCTCCAAGTACGGAGTCCTAGGTACCGATGAACGAAGTCGAACACCGGAGGTCTTGTAACCCATGGTAAATGGCTTCTTGGTTCAAGTTTGATAAAACCCGAGTTTGGAGTAAGGATAATAGTGTAGTGTATTCATTGACTAGACTAAGCCGGAGTAAAATGGTCTGTCGGGAGGCCTTTACTCAGCAGTATAAAAGGGATTTCGTCTTCTACACCTTTGAGGGGGGAATAGCAGAATACCGGTAGACCTTCAGAGCGATACACCTTATACCGGTATTCGGGATTTGGTGCTGACTTGCGGTGGCGGGAGTGGCCGCTGGCGTGGGAATCGATCGGACTCCCCAAAACACTAAATCGCTACTTGAAGTATCCCCCGGAATATTACTGTCGAATGAACGGCCCGGCCGAATATTCAGATCTCTTGGTAAAGTAACGTAACGACCGGCAATCGCGGTTGCTCATACAAGTACTACTACCTACTGTACGTACCATCTATTCCTTCTTGGCCGGCGTAGATCCGAGATCTAGAGGTGGACGTAGTATTTCCAAGCCCGGGCTCCCCATTCGATACAGTAGATACTCCGTAGATGCCCAGGATCTGCACGGCCAGGCTCCTTTACGGAGGTGTTAAGGGTGAAGTACTACGTACCTACTACGTATGTCACCGCCTTTACTACCGGTACTGTACTGTATAGTTCTCCGTACGCCGAGCATAGCAGAGGCGCTGCGGCTCTTGAATCTCTTGTCGTAAGGGGGCGGAGGTTCTCACGCAATCGAGCAAACTTCAACTTGCAATAGGTACAGTACCTTTTCGTGCCCGGCACAACCCGCTCATAATTACGTACTTTACCCCCTTATAGTACGTCCCAGGCGTAAGTATTACCCTTTGAGGGTAGGGTAACCAGGGGCTTTAAGGGCTTTAAGGGCTTTAAAGTGGAAGCTAAACTTTTGAGGCACCCTCGAGGGGTAATACTTAGGCCTATACCGTGGTACTTTAATCCCCTCATACTACGGAGTACGTACTACGTACTGCAGTACCGGTACTACTTGGTACTTTTATAATTTGGCAAGGGATCTTACCAAGGCTTAAACCAATCGACTTATACTTCGTACAACCGGATATGGGTAAATAATGTACGCAGTAGTAGTACGATTCTAGTCTGTGCATACTAGATACTTGGCAATGCTGCTTGAATTGTTATCGTTATACTACTACGTATATTATTGGTAGTACCCCTTGCACAAGAGCCTTGTTAACGGAAACCTTTAGAATTGCGCTCAGACAGCATTTGTACTACTACATTACTACGTATTTCGGGCATGTACAGTACTACTACTACCAAGTAAGAATCCAGCCTTGAAAAGTATCCTTAGGTCAGTATTTAGTCCGTGCAATAGAATTGATAGGGCTTTGAGCCATTCAGAAACCACCGCTCTATGATCTGTGGGCCTAAACTGAGTCCGCAACTCTAGCAATTACTACGTAGTACTACTGCTACTAGAAACCATATCTCTCTTCTCGAACGATTTCTCTTCTCGAACGATTTAAGATCAAAGCTAGAGGCAAACAGAAGAGGCGGAAAAAGCCAGCGACATTTTACTCTTGCTCTGCTTAGAGTAGAACTGGCTGTTATACCAGTAAGAGCAAGTAGTAGAAGTGTCCTGCGTCGGTTAATCCTGAATTTCTTCCGCTCTGTCCTGACATCCACGTCCCGTCCCGATCCTGCAACAAATCGACTTTGCGGACATCTCCTCCTCCTCTCCATCACCTCCTCTTGATTGCGGCGGACTGTGCGAGCCGCATAAGAAAAACTCTCATTACGTAGACCGGTGTTTAGTTCAAGATGTTACTGTAAGGTATGCGAGTCGTGATCCACGACGAAAGTATGTTCAAGGCATGGGAAATCTTTGGCCAACCGCTGTACCTCCGCTCCGTATGGGAGGCGGATACACCGATCGCGAGGGCAGCCGCATCTTCTTCATGGCCCCTGGACCATCTCCAATCGTTCACTCCGACGTCCTGTGAGAGGTAGCTAGCTACATTTCGTATAGACCTGCTGTGGACCGTGGTAGGGGGCGAGCGCTTACCGGTAGATCTACGTAGTAGCTAGTCATGGGAGGAGCAAGTCGCTTGCATAGTGAATGGAGAAAGTACTAGTTAGTATAATAGTCAGTGCACTAACTTTTTACCTGCGGGCTCTCGGTAAACAGTCAGGTCAAGCAAGTGTCCCATCTCAAATACTCTCCCCCATGAATAAATGTCGAAAGTATAATTTCGCAAGGGATCTTACCAAGGCTTAAACCAATCAACTTATAAGGATTCAGATTTGAAAAGTATCTTTGAGCCAGTATTTGCTCTATATAGTGGAGTTGATAAGGCTTTAAGCCATTAAGAAACCACCGCTTTATGATTTATGGGCCTAAACTGGGTCCGACATTTATTCATGGGGGGAGTATAGACTAAATACTGGCTCAAAGCTACTTTTCAAGGCTAAATCCTTATACGTAGTAAGTTGATTGGTTTAAGCCCTGGTAAGATCCCTTGCGAAATTATACTTTCGACATGTATTCATGGGGGTAATATGCAAAATCGAGTTGAGAATCATCAAAAATCATCACAAATCACGGTTCATATCGTGAATAACTTTACAACGCAACAAGCTACAATCATAAAATTTATATTTACGTATCGGCATCACGATCTCCTATTAGACTCTTAAAATTTAAAAAATATATGCTAATTATTTATAATATCTATTGCATAAAAGATTGGTTCTTTAATAATAAGAGCTCCTACAGCAGCAAGCTTGCAGCTTATCGATTATTAGCTTCGGAATATAGAATATTAGTTGAAATTAATGCGATTTGCAACTCGAATACATCAATAACGTAAGGGGCTACGATTCTCTACCTGTACGAGGTGCCCTTTACGAACCTTCAGCTCTTTCTCTTTCTTTCTCTTGCGGTAGAAAGAAAGATAGAGAATCTAAAGAGCCGAAATTAAATTATCGATATGCAACGTCTTTTCGAAGAGATCTTCTTTTATCGGCGATTCCGAACCTCCTTCCTCTTTTTTCTCGAATATTACGCCGATTACGATTTATACTTAACGAGCATACCGATTAGAAAAACTAAAAAGATTTGCGATAAAAAAGGAATGTGTATAAGAGATAGTAGTAAGATAAGAAAAGTTTAGTTCGATTGATCGAAAACACGGTATTGCGCTTTCGAAAAAGCGTTTTGCAAACACACCGGCTTTATTCAAAGGCTACGAACGCGAGCTTTCTTAGCTTTACGACGAAAAAGAACGATGTTTGTATTATACGGATCGAGGCCGCCCGTAAGGCCACACGTATTCAATAGTTGTCGAGAGAAAACTCGACGCACAGCACTATGAATTGCTTTTAAAGGGTTTACAAGTGTTACTTTATATATAATTCCTCTACTTAGCACGTCGCCGTACCTTATAAAAGGTCCCTAAGGTCTAAGCATTGCGTTTTGAATACCCGCCCGACGTTAATAAGTGCAACAACAACAACAACTATATCAATAACGTAACGAACAATAATATTAAAAAACAGATGCACTGTAAGAAGATAATTCTTCCTTGTGATGGGGGAAGCAGAAGGTGGTTACAATTGTATTATTTTTGGTTATCTAGAAGAGAGAGAATCCCTTCCAAGAAAGAGAACTGTATACAGTTCTCCTTCTACGCTAGCTAGCTATTCATTCTTTCAACTGGCAGTCACTATCCATCTCTTCCAGAGTTGCTTGGCAGCAACAGCACAGACCTTATAGAGTAAGAATTTCTTACTCCAACATGCACGAAGTATAGCAATCGAGCTTTACTTAATTATCGAACTTTTTATATATATAACTGTTGTTAAATGCAACTAATATCGTAACCTAGTTCGACTGATCGAAAACACGGTATACCGTATTGCGCCTTCGACAAAGCGTTCTGCAAACACACCGGCTCCATCCAAGGGCTACGGACGCGAGCCCTCTTAGCTCTACGACGAAGGAGAACGATATTTGTATTGTACGGATCGAGGCCGCCCGTAGGGCCACACGTATTCAACAGTTGTCGAGAGAAAAGTCGACGCACAGCACTATGAATTGCTTTTAGGGGGTTTATTCCTCTATTTAGCACGTCGCCGTACCCCATGGGAGGTCCCCAGGGTCCAAGCATTGCGTTTTGAATACCCGCCCGACGTTAATAGTAGTAAATACGTAGTACAACAACAACAATAACAATATCATAAAATATAGCTTTTTTCAATTGGAAATATGTGAAATAGGACACTTGCTTGACCTGGCACACTTGCTTGTCTTGACTGTTACCAAGAGCCCGGAAGTAGAAAGTCAGTGCACTGACTATCACACGCTTCACGCAGTAGCGGTATACTCCGTAGGTACTACTTCTACGTAGGTAGTTGGTTTATCACCAAGCCCAGTCCATGGCTTTCAACGATTTTCCCGCCAGGCTTATCGGATACAGATCATAATGTGGAGAGGAAGATCAAAGCTTGGCTGGATAGTGGCCCCAAGGCTGGATCGGGGAATTCGTATCAAGTGTTTTGGCGCTGATTCGGAAAGACAACAAATGCTCGCTAAAGTCACGGGTAACCTTCCCTGGCGGGCACTTTTTCATTGATTAGTCAGCAGAGCAGTGGATTCGGCTTCAAATTCAAGGATGATCCGAGCCGTCCTACTGTATCGAGGTGCACGATCCGATGTGTCGGAAAATTGAGATTGGAGGTAAGGAAGGATTGACGAGGACTGCTTCATTTCTGACGCTTCTTCGGCCAGTAGCGGCGAAGAACCAGAGGGTATAGTAAACGCATCAATAATATCAAAGTATGAAGCCCAAGGTCAATACACGAAGGATAGACGGACGCAACTCAACAAAGCTGGTATCTCTTGAACAGACTTTGTGGTTAATTCATACACGTTCTTTTCCTATCTCGACCACCGCTCAACAAGCTGATCTCGGTGCACATTTCTGGCTTGCAAATTATGCAAGTTCACCGCCTCCAAGCTATCCTGCAAAGCCTGTACATCACCCTCAAAAGTCGTGACCGCGTTGTCCAGGTCAAGATCTATCAGTCGAACTTTCCCATACTGCGAATTCGACAAGAGAGCATCCCGCAGCAATTGCATCGTCATCTTCGCATCGAGCAAATGCGACGAAATGGACTGCTCAGTGGTAGATTGCAGACTATCTGCATGGCCTTCCAACCTGCTTGTTCGTTCCGCCACCATTCGCTCGAGAAGGCTGGCACGTTCATGATCAGGCAAATCGTGGGCTGGTAGCGCCACGCCGAGATTTCGAGCAAGTTGCTGTTCCGGCGCGACCTCTTCGTCATAGGCTCCTGAGGAGCGACGGCTGTTTCGTAGGCGAAAGTTCGGTTGGGAAGCGGATGAATTACGGCTTCTCGTAGCATTGGGTCGAGTTGGTGAGCCCTTTGTGTTAGAGAGGGTAGCTGAGGGATGGGCGAGCTCTTGCTTCACGGAGTCGATGACCACTTGGAGCGCCATTCGATGGCATTGGCTTTCCTCGGCCCGTTCGAGGAATGTCTCGATGCGGTTGACGAGGAAAATCATGCAATCATGAATCTGTTAGGTTAGCGTTAGTGGAGTACCCGAGGAGCTAAAGAACATACATATTTGATAGCCTTCACCGTCCTCTCCTGGCCTTTGCCATCAATAGCAGCAGCCGCCCTGAGGGCCGGCTCGAGAAACTGCTGTTCCGCGGACATTTGCGCCACTGGCAAAACTTCCGAATACAAGCTTTCAAGCTCTTCTTCTAATTCATTGACCATCTGCTCTTCATGGTGACCATTGGACGGGTCCGAGCCGCGGAGTCCCTCCATGTACACCCTATCAAGCCGCGTCCGTATCCCCTCCACAGTATGCTTAATCAACATCGCACATAACTCCCTGATCCGTCCAACATCAGCCTCTTTCCCTTCGCTCCCATGTTCCAGATCTCCAGACAGCTTCTCCAAACTCAACAGCAACTTATCGTCCGACTGTAAGATCCCATCTACGCTCATCCTGAGACGAGCGTCATGCGTCTTACCCTGTTGTTCTAGATCCGAAATTTGGTATACCAAGCTTTGACTCAACTCCTCAATCGCTGCAGTGATACTTGCTTTCTCCGCCTCCCACTTCCTCAGCTGTCCCCTTTCTGTATGCGTCCTGGCCTGAGCAGTGCGGGTCTCACTCTTAACCAGCGCATGGAAAGCATTTTGCTGGAGACGCAAGACTTCTGTATGTTTCTCGATAGCGGCGGTGGACCGCTTGAGCTCTTCGATCGCGTTGTGGATTTCCTCGTCGTTGAGGTCTTGGACGAGGGAGAGGTCTTGTGCTGCGAGAGCCTCTGCCTCTCCACTCTTGGTTAATGTTGCGTACCTGACTGCTATTAGAATTTAAAGTTTCAAATATAAAGAAAAAAAAAGCTCACAGGTTAGCCTCATCTCTGCTCAACACCGTTTCCGGGCAAAGATGTTCCTCGATCCATTCCCGGATCGCGGTCTGGCTTTCTGGATCCTCGAACGCAGATTTTAAAGCTTCGCGATCATACGTGAGATCATGGTCTCTCAACGCTTTCACCAGTGTCTGTAAATGGTTTTCGGCCATGGTCGTGGTCGTGGTCGTGGTCGTGGTTCGAAATGCCAATGATCAGAGGGTAACTGTTATTTGGTTCGTTATTTGGTTCTCGGCCTTCGGAGGTCACAACTCCGGTCCGCCCACCTCCACTTCAACATTTTTTTGGAGACAGAGACTCGTCCACTTTATCGTTCTTCTTTCTTTTCAGTTATATACTAAATGGCCCGGCACGAGAGCGCTGGAGGCTTGACTTCAGACGCCATAGAGGCTTTGAAATTGGTGAGTTGTCAGCGTCTACTTACATGGTCGCGGGCATCGCTGACAACATCTTTCTTATTACGATTCAGGTAGCCCTCCGCTCGTGGCGTCGCAACCTCACTTCATGGCTATGCGTGCCCATGGGAATCCTCGTAATTCTTGTAGCATGTTTCGGGGTCAATTCTCTCATCGCCATATCCAGGGTGTCGTTCCCGGCTTCTGTGGCTTGTCTGATCTTGTTATTCCTGGCTCTGATCTTGTGTGACAGTGCGATTGGAGACAAGAGGACGAGGGCTATAGTCAAGATTATCGATGTACCTGTAGGTAAAGGATTGGCGCCTTGGGAATGTGGGAGCTGATTGTGTAAAAGGCCGGATTTGCATTGAGATACCTCAACATCTTCTTCACTCCCTCGTAGGCCGTCACTGTGAGCTCAGATTGCGAGTTATTCTAAACTTCAAGTACAGATTCATCCTACTTCCATTGAGCTCTCCTATCAGTGGCACTGAAGTTGGGAAAATCATTGCCGTATTCCGTGGGTAATATCCTATTCATTCCCATCCCTTCCATACCCCCCTTTTTTTCTCGCTAAGCGAGGGTGAGGTATCAAAGAAAACACCCAGCAAAACCCAGTCCCTTCATCAGCCGAGATATCGTGATGATATACGCCAGCAGCTTGGAAAGTCCTTCTCGAATACTGATCGCCGTCACAGTTATCGGCTTCATCGTTGTTTTCGCAGCAACAGCCTACCTAGTCCGCGGCCTTCAACTCCTCCTCGGCTCTTCCAAACGGGCCATAACAGCCCGAACCAGAGAAACGGGCGACGAGAGCGACAGTATCCCCTTCTCAGACATAACGCTCAGCAACGGCAGACAGAACTTTGAAGCTCCCACCCTCGTCAGTGGCACAAGCACCACCGGCTTCGTGGACGAAGCCTCCACAAACGACCTGATAGCCCCTCAACGAGCACACGATTCTTCTATTGTAAGAACCGCGGGCGAACCCCCTGGAGAGATTGTAGCGCCCTCCGACACCCTTCGCCAGAACGCCCAAGGCGTGCTCCAGATCCCCGTTCCCCTCACCCGTCCCCAACGCTGGGCCGCATTTCTAAACGCAAACCTCGATCCCTTCACCTATCTCCTCATCTTCCTCGCCGTTGGTATACCAGTCTACTACACAACTGGATACGCCATGCCCGCCCAGCTCACGTTCACAGTCATAGCCTATCATGCCGCTCTAGCTCTACCCTCACAGTGCAAGAGATTCTTGCATCCCGTGCTGGTGTCTTCCGCTCTTACTGTCCTCGGGGTTTTTATCCTCGGGTCGATACGTGGGGACAGTCTTTTGACGTGCCTGCATGCTTTCAGAACAGGGACATCCTACCTCTCCCTCTGGAAGGGCCAAAAGGATCTCCAGATGCCCGGTGCAGGCGACATCCTGGTCTCCATCCTCGACGCTGGCATTGTTGCCCTCGCATTGCCCATGTTCACCTACCGCCTCGAACTCAAGCGGCATTTCTTCGCAATTGTAATCCCCAATCTTACAGCGAGTGTAGGAAGTCTGTTTGGGTATCCGGCCGTGTGCTATGCTATTGGGATAAGCGCTGAGAGGAGTTTGGCATTCGCCGCGAGGAGTCTGACATTAGCTTTAGCAACGCCCGCGGTGGTGAACATTGGGGGCGATGCAAATACGGTTGCGGCGCTGGCGATTATGAGTGGGATCTTGGGCGCGTTGGTTGGGACCCAGCTGTTGGATCGGATGAGGATTCCTGAAGGTATGTGAAGACAACTTCTCTCTCTCCGAAAATTCTACTGGGGAGGGGTTGCTGGAAGATTCTATCGAGCTCTTTTACAACGCAGTTGGGAAGCTCGGTAGGAGACTTCAACCATTGACCCCAGTACCTAGAGTCTTAGAACGCCATGGGTCAAGATATGCTGACGTGTGCAACAGACGACTATGTGACTAGAGGTGTAACGTTAGGGGGCAGCTCTTCGGCAATAGCAACAGCGGTCCTACTTCAGACGGACCCCAGAGCTGCAGCTTTGTCGAGTCTGAGTATGAGCCTCTTTGGCATCATAACATTAGCATTGACGTCGGTACCAGCAATAGTGAAAGCTCTCAACTCTATAGTAGGCATGTGACAAGTCAAATCTCAATGACAATATCTTATAGTCAAGTGCTTTTATGCAAGATAGCGTTTCGTTGGAAACCGGCGGCCGTTTGTGATTCTGGACTCAGTGAAAGCACTGCAGATCCCCATAAGAGAGAGACATTTCGGTCACCAAGACGCAAGTATTCCTACTCCAATCTTTTCACTAGTCAGTCCATGAACTGCTGTGCAGGTCGAGATTGACCTACCTCTCAATCAAGTGCAGTCCAGAAGCAGTTTCCACGACTTGGCTCATCTCGCCCGGTTTGAGTTGGAATGCCGCTTCCTCGAACTCCTTCTGCATATCGCCACGGCCAAAGAAGCCCAGATCTCCCCTCTTTCGTGCACTGCTGCAGTCAGATTCGCTGGTAGCAAGGTCTCCCAGAGAAGATTGGCCGCTGCGAATTTTTTGCTCGTGCCCAAGGATGATAGTCATGGCCTCGTCCTTGCTGCGCTTGATCTCCGCCTAGCAGCTACCAGTCAACAAACATACTACTATCCCCGGCCGATTCAATTTCCAATGTGGCCGAGTCAGTCCGTCCATGGAGTCGGGAAGTTTGCCACATACCTCACGCCAGCTGCTGGGGCGCCGGCTGTCCCTATGTTTCACCAGCAAGTGGCCGGCACGAATCTTCCCGGGCGGCTTGGCATCGCCTTCCTGTGCATTGTCGGAGGCAATCTGGGGTGCGCTGTGGTTCTGTGCCATGTAGGACTTGAGCTTCTCGGTATCGGTTCCTTGCGGGGGCTCCCATCGTGACTGTTTCTGGGACTCGTTGAAGTAGTAGGGCAGGTTCTTGGAGTTGGAGTGGCGGACCTCCCAGCCGGCGGGCAATCCTGCTTCGGTCTGGTGGTAGTGTTAGCGTGCGCTGAGAGGGATTGATGGGTGATGGGGGATAGGTGATGGGGGATAGGTGATGGGTATAGGTGATGGGGATGGGGGAGAAGGGGGGGATGGGCGAGAACGAGGCTGAGTGAGCTCTAGTAGAGTATCGAACCAACTTGCCATTGTGGGGGAGGTTGTGAATGAATAACAATGGGGAGGAGAAGTAAAGGGGATCGAGGTGGAAGTGAGGGAGAGAGAGACTTTTGCTTGACTTGGTCGCGTTGCGTTGCGTTGCGTTGCGTTGCGTTGCGTTGCGTTGCGTTGCTTTACGGAGCTGCTGGTGGGATAGTATCGGTATGGAGGGCTGAGAGCTGGTGATGGAAGTACTTCCTTCGTAGTGGGATTGAGTCTTAGCGCCGGCGACATCCGCCGCCTTGTCGATCTTCCATTCACCTTCGTTTGACTCACTTCCCTTCGCCTTTCTTCCGCACAACTTCTTCGTCGATACAAATAAATACGGAAGAAACACCACGCGTAGAACCCAAAACAAACACCACCGAACACCGACCACCGTCCATCGTCCATCGTCCATCGTCCACCGTCCACCGTCCATCGGCCTCATCAGGTCCCGCACCCCCAAAATCCCGCCATCTTACGTACCGTACCATACCGTACCGTACAGTACCTACTCTACGCCCTACGCTCTACTCGCTGCCACCCGTCAAACAGACCTGACGATGGCCTCGCCCGCGTCCAGCACCGGCTCTGAGCCCAAAAAAGCCTTGGAACAGATCACTTTTCGATTCTGCAGCGAATGGTGAGTCGAGTTCCCCTGACGGCAAATTTCACACATTCCTACCTATTAACTCCTACGCAGTTCCAACATGCTGTACCCAAAAGAAGACCCCGACACCCATCGCCTGCAATTCGCCTGCCGCACCTGCCAATTCTCCGAAGAAGCGACCTCCACCTGTGTATTCAGAAATATCCTCAACAATGCCGTCGGCGAGACAGCTGGTGTGACTCAAGACGTTGGATCTGATCCGACGGTGGGTTTATCTCTCTGTTTGTTATGTGGGGGGTTGGTCATGTGTGATGGGGAGATCATGATGGGAAAACCGAACGAGGAGCGATAGGGGACGAGGAGATGGGGTGGCGGAAGACGATGAAAGAAGAAGAAGAAGAAGAAGAAGAAGAAAAATATCTTCTGCTGTGCAGGACCTCAGCAACTTCTGCTGACCTGCTTCTTACTTTCTAGCTCCCCCGATCCAACAAGACATGCCCGAAGTGTAAGACAGAGGACGCGGTGTTCTTCCAATCCCAACAGAGATCTGCGGAAACTGGGATGGTAAGCTTCCCCGAAGCGCAAGTTTCCATAGAGACTGACACCCCAGTAGAAACTCTTCTACGTGTGCTGCGGTTGTGGTCACATTTTCTCATGATACCCGGGCTGGCTATTTGTTATTTGCGATGTTTTACATCGAACTTAGGCTGAAGCATGGGCGTTGGGGTATCTAGATAAAGGCACGCGGGTACGGAGTTGGCATATCTCTCAAGGCCAGAAGAGAAGATAGCTAGGGGGGAATGAATGATTATGCATCTTCAGCCATGATCCAATTCTGAACGCCTTCCATATGCTACACGCGTCCCTGATTTTCATACCATATTACAAGTGCATCGGGGCCAAGGACAGGATCTTGGACCACTTCATCTTCCTCAATTCCACACCAACCACCCCTATGTGCACACCGTGAGCCCGAGTTCCCAAGTAGTATATCTCGCCTTAGGTATGGTATAGACTCACCATTCAGCCTCGTTCCTATCGGCTCTCCCGCCTTGTTGATCAACACACACGCATTGTCGTCGAACTTGACCACGCTCCCATCCGGCCTCTGCAGCTTCTTCGCCGTCCGGACCACAACGGCGTGTCGGATGTCTCCTCTCCGCACCTTGTTCGCCGCCGACGTCGAGACGCTTGCTCCGGGTCCCGACTCTGAGAAGTTTCGCTGCTTCTGCACAACCACGATAACGCGATCGCCTAGAATCCACCACACACATGAACATGGCTTGCGTCTCGAAGGGGGG